AGGTTTGTAGTTTGTAAGTTTTTTTGTTTTGTTTTTTTATTCCCAGAGGCCTTCAGATACAGAAAGAACAGGTATTTATTGCTAATTTTTGTAGGTTTGTAAGTTTTTTTGTTTTGTTTTTTTATTCCCAGAGGCCTTCAGATACAGAAAGAACCCACTTTAGGTATTTATGATCTGACATTTAACATCAAATGGTGTAAAATGTTGAAGGCAGGGTATGTCTTGATTTTTCAAGTTTGTTCACTGCTGAGAAAAGCTTTCTTTTCGTTCTCAAATTCCATCTCTTGGTCCAGTTCTTATCCGATATCCACAGATTCAGAGCTTTATTGCTTAAAAGTGTTCATCATATCTAGTAAAAGCACTTAAAATCATAAAGATGGCCATAATTCACAAATATATACATCTTCTGCTGATAACAGACTTCAAGCCTAAGGTCACTTAACTAACTAACTATTTGTTTATTTATTTATTTATTTTTTATTCAGGATTAAATTAATTCTGATTTTAAGAAAATAAGTAATATCCTTATTGCTGAAAAGAGCTTTAACAATGTGAGCATTGTGTTTGAGTGTTAGCTTTAAAGAATAAATCGGATTACACAGGAGAAATAAGAAGATACTACAAACAAGCCAACAAATAAATATGATGATTTTGATCACTTTGAACATTATAATTTGACAAATTGACTTGACTCAACAGTTCCTTGCAACACTTTTGTAATGTTTCAGCTAAAGCTCACACCTCCTTAACTAATGTTCCGAGCAGATGGATAATGTGTGGTATTTGATCACTGGCTGAGCCTCTTTTTAACTTAATTGATGCTCACATTAGAGCTTTATGCATTCACTATCATGCCTTAGAGACACCAGTGATTTTCAGATTTCTGACTGTGGAAAGGTTCATTTTGGGGCAACTGTCCACTCTATGTGAACAGTCACTATGTGCTTTAAAGGCACATAGATTTTTTGCATGTCTCCTTTGACTTTTCTGCAGATTAATAGTTGCCCAAACCCCAACCCCTCTCTCTACCACCGTCAGAGGATGTAATGTTCTGTCAGAGATAAGCTGGCTGGTTCTCTCTCTTGTTCTCTGACTAAGTCCATGAATAAAGGACAACAAAAGCAGGTTTCTCAGCAGAGCCCAGGGTGATCACTGTAGGTGTATTGTAGGACTGTTATGGCTGTGTGTGTGTGTGTGTGTGTGTGTGTGTGTGTGTAGTTCAGCTGCAGGATCAGGGTCATATTTGTAGCTTTGCTTTAACCGGTAGAGCTGCGTGTGTGTTTGATGCCGTGCTGTCGCTGCCGGCAGGTTTGTGGTGGAGATGAAAGAGTTGTTTGTGACACTGAACTTCTGAACCTGCAGTAGTTTGTCTCAGCCGCGTTTACCCCGATAGACATTACATTTACTCTCACAGATTTGCATGCCACCCACAATGAGAAAGACAGACACGCTTCTGAAGTGAAGAAATGTTTGACATCACAGTGTGACACCGACTGTCCTAAAGAGAAACCTCCCACACACACATCAGATGACGCTGAAAACACACTCAGACCTTCTCATGCTGGGGAAGAACTGAGGATGTGGAGCCACAAAGACGCTTGTGAACACAGTGCAGGAGTCACTCTCTAGAGAGCTAATGAGGGGTGCATTTCCCAAAAGCATTGTTAGCTAACTATGGTCGTTAGTTCCACTGAACTATATTGGTAATGACGGAGCTCTCTCTCCTCCAAATACCTGTGCAAATACCATGTTCATGGAAAATAACCACTGGAGAGTGTTGGGTGGATCCCTTCACCTAATGACATTGTAAAAGTGTTGTGACATAATATTTTAGGTTTACCTAAAGTCTAGTTCATCTCATCTAATTACATCTAATCTTATTCTTGTGTTTTTGATGGAACATTTTCCATTGCTACAAATACTGCCTTACATAAAATATTTAATATTACATTGGAAAGGAATAATTTACCCTAAAATCTAAATTTGTCAAAAATCTGATGAAAATGTGCTCATCCTCAGGTCATCTGAGATCAGGATGAGTTTGTTTCTTCATCAGATTTGGAGAAATGTAGCATTGCATCAGTGTCTCAGCAATGGATGCTCTGCAGTGAATGGGTGCCGTCAGAGACTCCAAATGTATTTTAGTTAAAAACGTCTTAATGCTGGATTTGTTTCAGCTTTTGTCTTCTCCAGATGTTAACTGATGGACTGGAGTGCTGTGG